TTTCTTGCTGCTTAAAGCAGACCTATATTGCTATGAACTTCTTTCTTAGAATACTTTTGCTGTCTTCCACAGATTTTGGAAAGTTGTATTTTCATTTTCATTTGTCTTAAGGTATTTTTTATTTCCTCTTTGATTTCTTCATTGATCCATTGACTGTTTGGTAAAATGGTGTTTAGTCCCCCTGTGTTTGTGTTATTTTCTGAAATTCCTCTTATAATTGACTTCTAGTTTCATATCTTTGTAGTTGCAAAAGATGCTTGATGTGATTTCAGTCTTAAACTTACTGAGTCTTGTTTTGTGGCCCAATTTCTAATCTATCCTAGAGGATGCTCCATATATACTTGAAAAAATGTGTATTCTTCAGTTTTTGGATGAAACGTTTTGTATATATATATTAAGTCCATCTGGTCTGATGTGTTATTTAAAGGCCAGTGTTTCCTTATTGATTTTCTTTCTTTTTTTTTTTAAAGAGATTTTTTAAAAAAATATTTATTTATTTGACAGACAGAGATCACAAGTAGGCATAGAGGCAGGCAGAGAGAGAGGGGGAAGCAGGCTCCCCACTGAGCAGAGAGCCCAATGTGGGGCTCGATCCCAGGACCCTGGGATCACGACCTGAGCCAAAGGCAGAGGCTTTAACCCACTGAGCCACCTAGGTGTCCCCCCTATTGATTTTCTGTTTAGATGAGCTAACCATTGCTGTAAGTGGGGTATAAAGTTCCCTACTCATTATATGTCAATTTCTTTCTTTATATCTCTTAGTATTTGCTTTATTTAGGTGCTCCTATGTTGGGTGCATACATGTTTATGAATGCTATATCTTCTTGTTTGGTTGATCTTTTTATTGTTATGTAATGCCCTCCTTTGTCTTTTGTTATAGTCTGTTTTGTCTGATAGGAGTATTGTTTTTCCAGTTCCCTTTTTGTTTCTACTTGCATGGAATGATTTTTTTCATGCCTTCACTTTCAGTCTGTGTATGCCCTTAAATCTGAAGTGAGTCTTTTGTAGGCCGCAAGTAGATAGGCCTTGTTTTTTTGTTTTAGTTTTAGTTTTTGTTTTTTTTATCTGTTCAGCCACCTAGTGTCTCTTGATGGGAGCATTTAGTCCATTTACATTTAAAGTAGTTATTAATAGTTATTAAATAGTTATTATATAAATAGTTATTAAATTATTTATTATTTATAAATAGTTATTAAAGTAGTTATTATAACTATTAAAGTAATTATTAATATTAACACACTGCCATTTTGTTAATTGTTTTCTGGTTGTTTTTGTATTCTTCTCTTTCCTTTCTTCTACTCTTGGTCTCTTCTCTTATGGTTTGATAGTTTTCTTTAGCATGATGTTTGGGTTCTTTTCCCTATTTTTTTGTGTATCTGTTGTAGGTTTGGTTTGTGGTTACCATTGGTTTCACATTTATCAACCTGTTTTAAGCTGATAGTCACTTAAGTTTGGCTGCGTTCCAAAAGCACTACATTTTTACTCTCCTCCTCCACATTTTACATTTGTCATGTCATATTGTACATCTTTTTATTTTGGCTATCCTTAACTACTTATTGTAGTTATAGTCGATTTCAGCATTTTTTTCTTTTAATTTTAATTCTAGCTTTTTAATGGGCTGATCCCACTGCCTTTACTATACATTTGCCATTACTGAGGCGGAAAAGCCCAAAATGGCCACCTCACTGAAATGAGGAACCACTGAGGATAACTTGCCACTTCTCCACGAAGTCACTTCTGCATAGCTCTAAGAACTTCTGTGTGACCCCCAAGCCAATCAGCTGTGAAAAACCACGAAAAATCCCTAGTTTGCCTACAAATATCTGTCCCAGCAAAGGCCGGGTGCTCAGACTGTAGGAGTGATCCCGCTGAGCCCGCCGACGTTAATAAAACTGTGTTCTCCCAGCTTTCCACGTGCCGCTTGAGTTTCTTGGTTGCCTCAGAACTTGTGCAACATTACCAGTGAGATTTTCTTTTTCACATATTTCCTTATTTTCAGTTATGGCCTTTTTTTTATGGTTAAGGAAGACCCTTTAACATTTCTTGTAAGCCAGTTTGGTGGTGGTGAACTCCTTTAGTTTTTGCATTTTTGGAAACTCTTTATTTCTCCTTCAATTCTGAATGATAACCTTGCCAGGTAGAGTATTCTTGGTTGTCAGTTTTTACCTTTTAGCACTTTAAATATAACCTGCCACTCCTTATTGGCCTGAAAAAATTTTTTTAAAAAAGATTTTATTTATTTATTTGACAGAGAGAGACAGTGAGAGAGGGAACGCAAGCAAGGGGAGTGGGACAGGGAGAAGCAGGCTTCTTGCTGAACAGGGAGCACAATGCAGAGCTTGATTCCAGGACCCTGGGATCATGACTTGAGCAGAAGGCAGATGTTTAGCCACCCAGGTACAGCTTGGTCTGAAAAATTTTTGCTGAAAAATCGACTCATAAGCTTATGAGATGTCCAATGGGCATGACTGTTTTTCACTTGCTGCCTTTAAGGTCCTATTTATCTTTCATTTTATTCTTTATCTTTCATTATAATTGTAATGTTTTTGTATGGATCTCTTTAGGTGTATCTTGTTTAGGACTCTGTACTTCTTGGAACTGGGTATTTGTTTCCTCCCGTCGATTAGAAATGTTGGTATGCTTGATGTTGTCCCAGAGGTCCTTTAACCTATCCTCATTTAAAAAATTTTTTTTCTGTTCTTTTAAAAAAATATTTATCTATTTTAGAGAAAGAGAGTGAGCATGTGTATGAATGGGAGGAGGGGCAGAGGGAGAAGGAAAGAATCTCAAGCAGACTCCCCACTGAGCATGGAGCCTCATGCAGGGCTTGATCCCATGACCCTGAGACTGATCCAAGCCAAAATCAAGAGTTGGATGCCCAAGTGACTGAGCCACCCAGGCTCTAACATCCAATCTGGTGTTGATTCCTTCTAGTGTGTTTTTCATTTCAGTTATTATATTCTTTAGCTCAGATTGTTCTTCTTCTTCTTCTTCTTCTTCTTCTTCTTTAATTTGTTAAACTCTTGCTGAAATTCTTACTGTGTTTATCTGTTTTGTTCCGAAGTTCAGTGAGCATCTTTTATGACTTACTTTGAACTCTTTACCAGGTAAATTATTTATCTTTCCTAATTAGGGTTATTTTTCTTTTTTTTTTTTTTTTTTTCTTTTCTAGGGTTATGTTGTTTTGTCTTAGAACAAGAGAAATTTATTGTCTTTTTGTAGGGGCTGGAATTCCTAAGTCCTAAGGTATTGGTAGACTATCTTCTCTCTGCAGTCTGTAGCAGAATCCTTTCTTTCCTGTTCTTACCTTCTGGTGGTTTTCTGACAAAATTTGGTGTTCCTTGACTTGTAGATGCATCATTCTAGTTCTCCATCTTCCCATGGCATCTTTCTCTTTTATTTGGAACATATTTCGCTGTCTCCTAATTTTGTTTGACATTTTGTGTTTATTTCTATAAATTAAGTGGAACAGCTCCCTCTTCTAGTATTGAAGCAGTGACCCTGTATAGGAGCATCTGCTGTGTAGACTGCATGTGCCTGGTGGGTTTGGCAGAATGGCTGGAGCTGGAGCACGCAATGGCCAGGAGGCCTTAGAGTAAACCATGCCATTGCCTCCTTGGCAGGATGGTAAGAACTGGAGCAGGTAAGTTTGGCTGGGGTAGGGAGTCATAGGTGTGCAACCCTGGGTATGCCTTGGCAGGGTGACTAAATCATGTGCAGCCAGCTGGGTGTACTCTAAACCATGACCATTTTGGTAGGACTTCTGGATCAGGTATAGGCCACGGTTTTTCCTGACACATGGCACCTAGGCTGACTTTGTAGGCTGGCTGGCTGGCTGGATTGGGCATAGGCTGGTGGGACTGCTGGGAGGTGGTATCTTAAAACACAACCAATTTCACTGAAGTATGTTATATACTAGTTTTTTGTAGTGTAATGAGTTTTAACTTGTATGAATTCATTTACTGTAAAGAGTGAAATTGCCATTGTAGTTTTTTATTTGAAAACATTAGAGTTTCTTTTCTGCCATTCAGTAAACAGGAGAGCAAAAAAAGACTAAACTGATAACATCTGAACTCTGTCATTATTACATATTATAAGCGTATGTAATTATACATTTTAAAAAGCCATTAAACTGTTAACGGGCAGTCCATAATCTTGAAAGGTTAGTCCAAAGAAATGAGTTCAATTCATTGAAATGTTATCATAGCTTGGGTTAATGATGTACATGTTTTTATATACTACTAAAAAGGAATGTTACTTTTCAGTGTGTTGTAATAGTCATTTCCTATTTCTGAATTTTATTTTCTTCCTTTGAAAAAGTGATTGCTGAAATCTTCCACACTAGTAATTATCCCTTGCTCAACCTCATTACTGGATGGAATAAAATAAATCATAGACTTGATATCCAAAGGAAAAGTTTGGTTAACCTTCCTCATGATTCATGTGGTTACATATACATATATATTGTCTCATGAGGTTAAGATTGCATTAGAGCACAACTCATGCTTAATGCATTAGAAATTTTGAAGACCATTTAAGACAGGCACAAATCAGACAAAGGCTAATTGTTTGCTAAATTTTTATTCTAGTATATTTAATTTAGGAATTTAAAAATGCTGCAATATTATTCTAGACATTGACTTTTTAGGAATGAGCATTGCAAAATGAATGCAAATAGTTTCACTCAGTGAAAGACCTAGATATTCATTCTTGTTTCCAGTTAGATTTTTATCCTGCTTTAATTAAAACAAATATTACTTTGAAATTTCCTACACTGTGATGTTATTACAAACTCTTCATCAGGCTCACTAAGAAATATCTGCAGACATTTGTGTATTAGTTTCCCAAGACTGATGCAACAAAATACCACAATCTAGGTAGCTTAGAACAACAGAAATTTATTGTCTTGTTGTAGGGGCTGGAATTCCCAAGTCCTAAGGTATTGGTAGACTATCTTCTCTCTGCAATCTGTAGTGGAATCCTTTCTTTCCTGTTCCTACCTTCTGGTGGTTTTCTGACAATCTTTGGTGTTCCTTGACTTGTAGATGCATCATTCTAGTTCTCCATCTTCCCATGGCATCCTTCCCATGCCTATCTTTTCACATAGTCTTCTCTTTCTTTCTTTCTTTCTCTCTCTCTCTCTCTCTTTCTTTCTTTCTTTTAAGATCTCTAGTGATGTGGAATTGGACCCACACTACTCCATTATGACCTCATCTTAACTTATTACATCTGTAATGATCCTGTTTAAAGAAAGTTTGTAACATTGTGAAGGGGTTAGGATTTCAGCATATGAATTTTGAGGGGGACACAGTTCAACCCATAACAATCTTCTGTTCAGGTAAAAGTGTGAGTGTGTATCCTATTTCCAGATGAACTTATTCCAGGATGGTAATGGCAGCTGGCAATGATTAGTGCAGAAACACCTCTTCTCTGGTGAGAAATGGCAGTCACTACTCATTCTTCATTTGAGGGCAAACTGATTAATCTTTCCTGTGCTTTGTGGAGATTCTTTCCAGATGTTTGTTTTAAGTTGTCTGTGAGTTCTAACTTTTAGATGGTGGTGGGTTTTCATCTTTTCCTCTGTGTTTATAAGTACTTTAGTGAAAAATTAGGAGAGGCAGCATTAGGGGATGTTAACAGATGCCATTTTAATTAAGAAATCCTGGTTGTTCCAATGTTTTTGAAGAGATGAAGTTATGAGCAAGGTAAATTAGGAATTTACCTATGCTATACTTTGATCAGATTCAGACAGAATTCAGGCAGATGTCAAGTTAGTTGATAATCACTGCTTTACTTGCCTCTGTGCTGGCTTTGTAATTTGCTCATAGAAGGAACCCTCCTTATTCTTTGTGTGCCTGAGTGACATGTACTTCAACAGTATAATTTGCTTCTTCACTTTACTTGAAACAAATATCCTTTATTTGCTTCCATTCCTAGGTTTATAGATTTCTTAACAGGTTTATTCACTAGGAGTTCCAGTAGGCTCTAAGACAACTTCAAATAACATTTTAAATAAAAGCTGAGAGTTTAACCCAGGGGCTTCCATTTTAAAAATGAATATAGATACAGCTTAATAAACTCTCTCACAGACTTTTGAATCAGAGTGTTGGGATTGGGATTTTGGCATCTATAGTTTTAAAAAGTAGTTTTAGTCCATGCCCAGGTTGAAAAAAAATCACTAATTTGTTATGTACAGATTAACTAATATGGTGGGTAGATTCTAGCTTACATCTGGCTTGATTTCTCAAACATGTATCATTGCAGTATAATTAAAGTTAGGGGCTGGACAGGACTTGGAACAAATCTCGCTCTGCCTCTTTGCATCTTGGACAAGTCACTTAGTCTCTCTGAGCTTCTGTTTTCTCATTTGGAAAATGGGGATGATATCATTTATGACAAAGGATTTGTTTAAGGGTTACAATCTTGTTGCTTAAGAGTCTTGGATGGATCCTCAATGCTAAAGATAATAGGTGACAAGATCGCAAATATTCCAAAGAGAATGACTTGCTAAGTAGTGGCCAAAGCCACAAAGACACAAGGGGCACATATAAAAAGAAAATCTGCGGGCTAGACTGATCAGAATAAAAGATTTATTTGAAGGGGTTTGTTACCTTCAAAGGCATGATCCTGACTTCCTGTTTCAGTACATCCCATATAAGTTCTCCCGGATGCGGTGACCTTATCCTGACAGGTGGTTTTAAATGGTTCTGTCTTACCTCCTGCATGTCAGCCCTGGTTATTAGGAGGCTGTTTGTAAAATAGAAGCTTGTCTCCACTGTAACCCACCAACAGCGATGGAAGATGTGAAGAACAGATTGAAAGACAACAGTAAGGAGGGAAAAAAGACTATTTTTAGGTTGTACCCTACTGAATAAGCTTATTTAACACTTGTTATATATATTTAACTCATATGACTCACTCTATCTGATCTGGCTACATCTATTATAATATCTCATTTGAGTACCCTTCTATCCTATCAGCCAAAATCTAGCATTTTCTTCTTGAGGGTTCCAGAGAACCCTGGGATCTTTTTTAGTTGAGTAGGAAATGGGAGGACTTTGTCTTCTACACATTGAACAGAGAGAGATTTGGAGTCTGGCATCCCTTGCTGTCTTTGTTTCTCAAGGTTGGTGTGCTGCTGCCTGGCACCAAGATCATAGATCTTTTTTAAACTTTGGGCTCTGTGCTTAGTCATTATTTTCCAGAGCCCTGACTTCTCCTAATGTGTGCAAGTGGCCTGTTATAATGTCTGATACATGATAGTAACTAGTAACTTCTTGAGCCACATTTATTGGACTATAATGCACATAGAGCTGTAATTACACTGTTGATAGTATGGGACATGTAACTGAAGGGTTTAGAGTTTGTCTTACAGTGGGGGCTCTCAATCTTCTCATCTGGTTGATGCAGTTGGCATTGCTCACTGATATAAGTTCTCTGGGACTAGTTAAATAGACGTGGCTATTTGTTCACAGACTTGTGATGTTGGAGTTACCAAGGCTCCATGCTCCATCTTAGTCTTAATTACATATATATATGTATATATATATATATGTGTATATATATATATACATATATATATATATATATATTTAGCTTGCTTGCTTCCTTCCTTTCACTATGCACTCTTCTTGGGTCATCCTATGTGTTTTTATAGTTTTCAGTACCATTTCTAGGCAGATATCTCAAATTCTTATTATCCAGCTCAGTTCATAGTTCCATGCTCCTGATGCTTATATTACACTGCCTGCCTTTTTCATATTTTATGCAAGTATCTCACATATAATGCGTTCAAAACTGAACCCCTGAGTGCCATCTCTCAAACATGTTCTACTTCCATTTAGTAATTGGTACTATCTCCCTTCCCAGGTTTCACAAAAGAAAATACCCTTATAAAAAGCCACAAACCAACCAACCAACCATCATCTCTTGCCTATAATGCTCATCTTATTTCCTTCCTTGGCTACCTCCATCCATTTTTCACATAGCAATTGGAGTGATCTCTAAAAAAGATGAACTATTCTGGCTTAAAACTTGTTAATGACTTCCAGTGGTACATAAAAATAAAACCAAGTAGCTTGACAGTGGCCTTAAGGCCGTGCATGATTTGATCTCTGAGTATTTATTCAAATTGTCTCGTCATTCTTTCCCCTTGCGCATTTTCTTCAACTACTCTGTCCACCATGCAAACACTAAGATACTAAGCTTATTTCCACCTCAAGGCCTTTGCACTTGATTTACTTTCTGCCTGTGTCACTCTTCCCTAATACCTGGAGCCCCTGCCTTCCCATTCCCTGCATAGTTCACCAGTCTAACAACGATGTTTAAATGTCACTTCTTCATGGAGGCCTTCTCTTGTACCATCCCATTATTCCTTCTTACCATATCTCCTCCTTTCCTTTTAGAAGTTATTGCCCTTTTAAAATTATGTGCGTTTGCTTCTTTAGTGCTGATGTCCCCTATTAGATAAGTGACTTCCATAATGATGTGACCTTGTCTGTTTTGTTCATTGTTGAAGCAGAATGTGAAACAGCACTTGGCATAACCTGCTAAGCAGAGTTGTCAGCGAAAAGATTGCGCATGGAGGCAGGAGCAGGAGATGCAGTTTTTTTCTTTGCTTGTGAGAGTGAAGGGAATGATGCAGAAGATGTTAGTGTGCCTCTATGGTTTCTGGATACATCTTCTTTCCTTTCAACTTGTTGCTAACTTTTTTTTTTTTTAAGATTTTATTTATTTATTTGACAGAGAGAGATCACAAGTAGACAGAGAGGCAGGCAGAGAGAGAGAGAGAGGGAAGCAGGCTCCCTGCTGAGCAGAGAGCCCGATGCGGGACTCGATCCCAGGACCCTGAGATCATGACCTGAGCCGAAGGCAGTGGCCTAACCCACTGAGCCACCCAGGCGCCCTGTTGCTAACTTTTTTTGTATGAAAAGGAATCTCTACAATTTGCTGTTTCTCTTTCTGATAGTTGTATCCATCACCACTGCTGTCATTTCTGTTTGCCTTTCTATTCCATCCTCTTCTTTCAAGTTGGATAAGATGTTCTTGCTGAGCCACAGAAATAGAAAGTATAATGAAAACTGTGTAGTATTGTTTTATGCTGATGAAATGGGAAAGAGGTAAAGGTAAAGTAATTAAAACCCAGAGTGGTGATTCTCAAACTTTAATATCTAAATTCCATAGAGACTTTTTTTTAAGATTTTATTTATTTATTTGACAGGCAGATATCACAAGTAGGCAGAGAGGCAGGCTGAGGCAGAGAGAGAGAGGCAGGCTCCCCGCTGAGAAAGGAGCCTGATGCGGGACTCGATCCCAGGGCCCTGGGATCATGACCTGAGCCGAAGGCAGCTGCTTAACCGACTGAGCCACCTAGGCATCCCTCCACAGATACTTTTAACTAATGTCTAGTCCTAGACTCTTTCTTTAAGGTGTTTGATTCAGTAGATGAGGTCAGGGTCCCGGAATTTGAATTTGTTATAGGGTCACCTGGAATGGTATAGTATGGGGGGATTTGTGGGAGATGAGAATGGAAATCCTCCCAGAGATGAAATTTGCATCAGTTTTATTTCCTTCAGTGAGAAAAGTGCTTCCGTGTCACAGTGAAATTGGGAATTTACAATCCTGCTGGTTTCATGGAGCACTGCCTCCTTTAGGAGGGTAAGTGGAGGACATTTTGTAGCCACACGAAGGGAGAAGCCCTGACTATTCTGGGAGAAAGGAGTTTATAGACCTAGAATGAAGCTCTGCTCATCTGGGAAACTAGAGAAAGTGAGGCTTTGGAACTCTGAGGTGGAAGATGATAGAGGGTGTCTGGATCCAGGACTTTGGGAATGGGCTTGGACCCCCAAATATGTCTGGGAAGTAAACTGAAAGGCTAACACTGGTAGTATAGCACCTTGTGCTTTAGTCTGGTAAGGTGAGGGCTCAGTTTCTGAGATGACACTGGGTATGTGCTGGTGAGCTCTGTATCAGCACCAACACTGGCTCCAGAGCAGGGGACAGAATTTTGCCATTTTGTGCTTGGCACAGTCTTCAGGAACAGCTTTATGGTATGGCAGGATCTCACCTCCACAGAGCTTATGTTTTT